GCAGCCGTGGCTTGATGCTGGCAGACCTCTCGCTTAGCATTGCGCCCGTGAGAGGCGCTTCATGTCCAGAGCACTTCAACATTCAGGATCAAAGCAGCTCAGAAAACACGAGCGCTGGCCCCTGGCTGACTGTGCCGCACACCCCGAGGCTTGCCCTGAACGCAGCCGCCGTGCCCGGATGAAATCAGGCACTGCATTGCAGCGTGTAACGCGCACTCAGCTACAGACTTTTCCGAGTCTCTTCCGAGTCTATAGCCCAAGGCTCTGAGCTAAAGAGCGCCCAGAACCAAATTCCGAACATAAACACGCGTACCACACAGAAAAACGCATATGAACACAAACAATGCCACCGGGCACAGATACGGCGCACACATACACGCCGCTTCAAACACGAATTATCTCTGTGTAGTCATGCAAACTGTTTGAACTTCACAGCACCTCTGAAGGCCGGCACTTCACAGGGTGAGTGACCAGTACCACGCACACTCGGCCGCCTTTGTCTCCCGTGTGGCGATGTTTACACACCAAGTGCCCATTTAAGGTTGTGTCACCTAGGAGAGAGCCGGGACGGGTTCAGATATTCGTCACCAATGTTTGCTGCGAGCGGGATACGAACCTAGGTCGCCGGGTTCGTTGCACATGGTAAACATTGCGCCACCGCTCGCACGATGGTGATGACGACACGTGTATAAACACACAAGTACCACTGTCGTTCTACACGGAGTGGCGGCGACGTGAGCACGACGCTTGCGCTAAGGTAAGGTGCACCTTGAGGCCACGTGAAGGCTGACAGGAGATCGTGAAGAGACCCAGGTGCCACGGATTGACTGGCTGAGGTGACTGGCAGATGCACCACCTGTGCTCCCACTGCGCAAACTTGCTGCGCTTTGTAGGGCTGGTTGGTAAGGCCCCATCTCTTAGTGGCATATTCCAGGTTCAGCAGTAGCATCTCCAACTCATTCTCAGAGTGGGCAGCAACTACCAGATCATCTGCATACATCACATGGTTGACCAATATGAAACCACCCATTAATCTCACCCAGACATTGATGAGAGCCTCCCATGTATCTATACCAGATGGGAATTCCACCGGTACATCCGCGGAACGCTTGTAAAACTACGTGGCAGAAGATGTTAAGTAGAATGGGGGACAAAGGACATCCCTGTCGCACCCCAAGGCGAACAGGCAGTAGCTCTGACTCCCGCCCACGCAGCTTTACTTGGGACTACCCACCACCATGCACGTCCTTAATGATTGTGAGCAAAGGCTCAGGGACTACGAAAGCACGAATATTAACCCCGAGCCATTGTATACTGATGGTACCATAGGCCTTGACTAGGTCAATAAAGCAGTGATGTAGGTCCTGTTGTAGTCGACAGATAACATGTCGTCCGTGCAGGACCGCCCCTGTCTGAAACCACATTGGGGATCCGAAAGCTTCTCCTCAGCATGTCTGGCAAGGAGGCGATGTCGAATCATTCTTGCCAGGACTTTTCCAGGAATACTGAGGAGGGAGATGCCCCCGTAGTTGTTGCAACCAGTGCGGTCCCTCTTTTAAAATGGGGACAACCAGGGCATGTTTCCAATCCTGCGGAACCCGTCCTGTGGACCAGACGGTTGTAATGATGTAAAATAGTGCAATCTGCATACAGACGCCACTCTCCCTCGGCAGCTCGCTTGGGAGGTCATCTCTCTGACTTCGCGTTACCGGTTTTAGGCTCCGGATCACCCTTCACACTTCCTCAAAAGGTGGCAACATCGGCCAGCCACTCGCAGGGAGCGGCGACTTCCTCCCATATTTGAGGCACGACAGCCCCCACCTTGCCCCGTGATACGATTCGAACTGAGGGGGTTTCCCTTCCCCAACACACACACACGTGCGCACACACACTCCAAACCCCGCACGCACACGCGTGTAGTCGTGAGCACCTATTATTAGTATGTATCATTAGTACGCCACGCATTTGAGGGAGCTGGGATGATAATCACGCCACCGCCGCCTCTCTGCTCGCGACAACCCCGTGTACCGCCACTCCCCACCCACCACGAGGGCTGCCCTGGGCCACCCCTCGCTGGCGCGGCCTCCCGTCTATCGGGCGCCGTGTTTGCGCACCTGGGAGCGCTTTTCAGAGGCGGCTCGCTCAGACTCCACTCATTAATGCGGCCAGAGCAACCACACTACCTCATTAACGACGGCACCCCCCCACACCCCCCCTAACCCCACATCCCCCCATCCCACATTCTTATCTCCCCCCCCCCCCCCGTGCTGCTCACATTCTCAGGCGTTTCTACCACAACCACAATTTACATATGAATGTAAGTCGGCGTGCGTCAAATAATTATTGATTAAAATCGATTCATACGCTCGCGGCGCACAGTTCCGCAAATTGCGCTCCCGTATCAATTATTTTTGGCATTTGTAAGCGGCCGTAGTCCCAGGCTAATTGAAGAAACATCGAACGAGAGGGAACACATGAGACGGACGTCTCGCGCGAGACGGAGCGTTCATCTTGACACGTGGTTCTAGAGCCCGTGACTCTGCGCCGAGGGGCCCGCGTCTTCACCACTCGTGGGGTTCCCGTGAACGGGACAAGACATTCTCGGAACAAGGCGCCCGGTCCCAACGTAGCATCTCGGAAGCTGGACAGGGCTTGAGCCGGGATGGCGCTTGCATGGCGCCTGAAACCGATTAGTGCCGGCTGCCGCGGAGAAACAGTCAGCACACTCCATTATTGTCTCTCTGTTAGGTTGGCAAACGCCCGCCTTCACCCACGCGATGGTCCAGAGCGTGAAGTATGGTCAAGTAACCCCTACGACTAGAACGACGTGGGGAGGCCCTCGTCGAAGCTATTTCGCTGCGCACAATGAGCATTCAGGCGGTGCTCATTCCTGTTCACAGCCCCGAGCCGGTACTGGGAATTCCACGTTCCTATGGCGGGGGCCAGTATCTCCGTAGGACAACCGCTGTTGACTTCCCCACGAAACGACATCTATTGTATCAACCCTCGAGGTGTACCGTGGGCTGGGTAACCCTCCGCCCGGGATTCGAACTCTTCCGGTTGCGAGCCGTCCGCTCGACCGCCCAGCAGCCGCCCTGGCTGCATTGGACGGGGGAGGGGAAGGCTGCTGCTGCTGCTGCTGCGAGTGGAACACCGCCAGGCAGGTGGGAGAGGTGGCAGGGGGCAGCAATCGGGGAGATCTCATCCCATCTCCGCACGTGTAACGAGTGGAAGCGTGGTCGCCAACATCGTCATCACCATTGCCACCATCATCACCCCCACCACCATCGTCACCATTTTCACCATCACTCCCACCACCACCATCACCATTGCCACCATCATCACCCCCACCACCATCATTACCATTGTCACCATCACTCCCACCACCATCGTCACCATTGTCACCATCACTCCCACCATCACCATTGCCACCATCATCACCCCCACCACCATCATTACCATTGTCAACATCACTCCCACCATCGTCACCATTGCCACATCACTCCCACCATCGTCACCATTGTCAACATCACTCCCACCACCATCACTTCCACCATCATCACCCCCACCACCATCGTCACCATTGCCACATCACTCCCACCATCACCACCATCATCACCGCACATGTGTGGGTGGGGTCGAGGCCCGACCTAAGAGCGCGGCGCTGACACCCGGCTTTGATTTCTCGCAGGAGGGATTTTGCAAACCGCTGGCCCGAAGGCGCCCGAGACTGTTTAGGGGCAAGAGCAAATTGCACATTGTCACCGCACATTTCCCGCTGAAACATCGCATTGGATCGGCTGTAAAATTCCACTTAACGTATTCATTGGAACTTATAGGTCACGCCATTGCTTTTTATCGCGCGGAAAACCAGCCCTACATAATTTATACGCGCATGAAGAAAACTGATTTGCATCCACGTGCAAATCAAAGTTGTCCAAAGACGACGAGGCGTATAGCGTGGTTCGGACAGTCGATTCGCACAATGGTCAAACAAACTTCTGGATACATTTAGCAGACACTTGGCAAAGGAGACGGAGGACCGTGATGTCCATTATTTACCCAACAAGAGCCTGGCTGAGCCTCAAGACTCCCCGCCGTCAGGAGGGTGTTCATGCGTCGGGATGTTTGGCCGATACCGTGAATGAGGAGTTTGGCTCCACGTGGAATGAAACCAGAAAACCCCGAAGCGCGCGGTAGACGAGGGGAGACACTCGCCACTGCCAACTCCGAGCCGCCTCGCAGCCCCACGCCTGCAACGCCTGAATGGTCACCTCACCCAACACGGAGCAGGCTCGAGTCGACTAAGCATCTGAGATCTGATGAGACCAGGGGCATTGAAGGGTGATTTGGACACAGCTATTGTGCTTGGATCATCATCATTGCAATTCAATCCTTCAAGAATGGAAACTGTGAGCGTTACAGGAACGCAACACAAATGCATGGAATATCCCGACTCCCCCCGCTCTTGATCTTCGGTGCAAGTTTATTCCTGCACCAGATGCAGCGGGCCGCACCGCGCATCGTCCGACGTTTCGCTCCGCGTGCCGGGAGCCGAGCTGCACGTCGGGGAGCCGTACCGCACGACCGCAAACCCCAACGTGATGGCAATGAGTCACGGACGTCAGCAGCGTCAGAGCACCTACGCCGCGTCAGTTCCATCCGTTACGTTTTAACGAGCTGCTGCTGTTGTTGTTTTAGTGAGAGGAGACACGAGTGGGCTGGAGGAAACCCGTGCGGACGTGGGGGGGTGGTCTGAGGTCAGGACAGATGGGTTAACGCGTCCACTCCCCACGGGGGTTCTCAGCAGTGAGCGGCCACCGGCACATCCATCAGGCGCTGTGTGTGCGAGGTGTGTGGGAAGTGTGTGGGAGCGCGGGGTATCAGCCGCCCGTGACGTCCCGAACATCTCCGCGCCTCGCAAGAGAGGAGGCGTCCACTGTGTGTGAGGACGGCTCGAAGGAAGACGGAACTCAAGAAGATTAAAGGTGGAGCAGTTGTGTATTCACTGAGCTATCTTTATTGAATGAGGCGATAACCGATTAGGCAGGTTTGAGGGCCTGTATTGATATAGGGTCTGGATGGGCGACCACCACGCTCACCAGGTGTTACAGGCTGCTACAGGGCTTCGTCATGGGCAGCGGACAGCAGCGCTGCAAAAACCATTGTTAGACTGTGCATCTATGCTCCCACGTTCAACCTCCCCCCTATTCACCATGCCGCACTGACCAGCACTGTGCAGTGCCAACAATACCCACGTAGTGGGAAGGCCCCCATCCAGCAGTGGATTGACAGAGGGCTGTGCACGTGTACAAGACAAGCCATTGGGACTTCAAGTCTCTTTTTCAAGAGCGACCAGGGTACCTGCCAAAGCCGCGTGGGCCTGGGTTCGATGCCTGACCCGGGCGCCTCTCTGTGTGGAGTCTGATTGTTCTCCCCCTGTTGTGCACGGTTTCTGGCTTCTCCAAGTCATCTAAATGCTGTAAAATCACCTCCAAATTCACTCAACTGGGATCACACAGCAGCAGCAGCAGAGACAACATCGCCCCCCCCCCCCCCCTCCCCCTCTTGCGGAAACATTTCCAGGATTCTCCCAAATAAAAGATTCTGAGGCTTTCCTGGGTGAACAAGTTCAATAATAGTAATAATAATAAAATATGGAATCTCATTTGTATAACACAATAGTAACGATATCAATGCACGGTTTCTCTCGTGTATCCATATTCATTGATGCTGGAGGTTAAAAAAGTAAAATTGTGAAACCGCGATGGGCCTCGACAATCCAACACGCGTTGGGCAGCCCCAGTGGGGGGGGGGGGGGGGGGGGGGGGGGGGAGGCGCACACAGCGCAGGTGGGCAGCCACTGCGTTTCGGGAGGGCCGTCCCACTCGCGAGAGATCACCACGGCCGCCCGCTGTGGCCACCGCGTGCCCAGCGATACCGGGCGGTGCGGCAAACGTGACGCCGTTGCTAAACCGGCGCATGTGCGTCGGTGGCGTGCGGCGAATGAAACGTACAGACCCCCACCCCGCCCCGCCCCCTGGGGAGAGGGGGGGGGGACGTGAAATCCTGAGCACAGAGAAATTGCAGCAATTACTCAATTAACAACAAATCGGCCACGGGAGTGCGCACGCAGTAGGGACTTTTAGTGACTGCGTATGAAGAAAGGTAATTTAATAATAGTCGATCTACACGGGAAAGCCTCGCCGAATCTCGAGGCTCGTTTTCAGGATGGTTCTAGATGCTGGGTTGTTCTACCAATTCCATTTAAAGCTGCTGCTGCTGCTGTCCTTTTGCGAGTGGGAGACAAGGAGCATACCCGGAGAAAGCCCCATGCACGTGAGGAGTAGACACTAAGTAAACATTGATCGACTAGGGGAGAACGCACGAGACCACGACAGTCTTCGTTTGTGAGAGTCACCTGCCTGGAACGATCACTCAGAGGTCCGCACAGATGGGTTCGTGAACTTGCGTACCGTGTCGCCATCCCGTGGGCGCCTCGCAGGATTTGGGGAGCTTCATAAAAACCGACTGTCGCCACCACCGACCCTCGCCACCACCGACCCTCGCCACCACCGACCCTCGCCTTCAAAGAGGCAATCCCAAGGTGGGCACTGTCCCAGCAGTTGGCGTGGAAATGGCATGTGGCAAAAGGTGCGGAGTGAACCGTCCAGGGACACATCCACGACCGTCCGTGACCGTTTTTTGCGCGTCCGGCACGGCCTCCGGAGGGCGCTTCCAGCTGAGGCCGGCTGCGTACGAATGAACAAGTACTTCGCGTGGTCGTGTAACGCCCGCCAAAATGAAACAAATATATTCTCAAGATCACTCGTGAGCCCTCGCTGCCGCGCGTTCGTCAAACGCGCGGCAGCGAGCCAGCGGCTCCGCGCCACGCGGGACGCCGATTCGCTCAACGAATGCTTCACCTCAATTAGATGTGCGCAAGGGGAAAAACACACACAATGCTAGTTATGTTAATAATAACGACGATAATAAGTTAGAGACTTCGTATGCGAGAAACGCCTCCGAGTGTCTCGAGACGTTTTGTTTTGAGGATCGTCCTGCGCTGGGGCGGTTCACAGCTGCTTCATAACCGTTTTGAGCGCGTTCTGTACACACATGGAGCGTGCTGTATGCACATGGAGCGCGTTCTGTACACACATGGAGCGCGTTCTGTACACACATGGAGCGTTCTGTACACACATGGAGCGTTCTGTACACACATGGAGCGTGCTGTATGCACATGGAGCGTTCTGTACGCACATGGAGCGTGCTGTACACACATGGAGCGTGCTGTACACACATGGAGCGTTCTGTACGCACATGGAGCGTGCTGTACACACATGGAGCGTGCTGTACACACATGGAGCGTTCTGTACGCACATGGAGCGTGCTGTACACACATGGAGCGTGCTGTACACACATGGAGCGCGTTCTGTACACACATGGAGCGTGCTGTACACACATGGAGCGTGCTGTATGCACATGGAGCGCGTTCTGTACACACATGGAGCGTGCTGTACACACATGGAGCGCGTTCTGTACACACATGGAGCGTGCTGTACACACATGGAGCGTGCTGTATGCACATGGAGCGCGTTCTGTACACACATGGAGCGTGCTGTACACACATGGAGCGTGCTGTATGCACATGGAGCGCGTTCTGTACACACATGGAGCGTGCTGTACACACATGGAGCGTGCTGTACACACATGGAGCGTTCTGTACACACATGGAGCGTTCTGTACACACATGGAGCGTGCTGTACACACATGGAGCGTGCTGTATGCACATGGAGCGTGCTGTACACACATGGAGCGTTCTGTACACACATGGAGCGTGCTGTACACACATGGAGCGTGCTGTATGCACATGGAGCGCGTTCTGTACACACATGGAGCGTGCTGTACACACATGGAGCGTGTTCTGTACGCACATGGAGCGTGCTGTACACACATGGAGCGTGCTGTACACACATGGAGCGTGCTGTATGCACATGGAGCGCGTTCTGTACACACATGGAGCGTGCTGTACACACATGGAGCGTGCTGTATGCACATGGAGCGTGCTGTATGCACATGGAGCGTGCTGTACACACATGGAGCGCGTTCTGTACGCACATGGAGCGTGCTGTACACACATGGAGCGTTCTGTACACACATGGAGCGTTCTGTACACACATGGAGCGTTCTGTACACACATGGAGCGCGCTGTACGCACATGGAGCGCGTTCTGTACACACATGGAGCGCGTTCTGCACACACATGGAGCGTTCTGTATGCACATGGAGCGCGTTCTGTACACACATGGAGCGTTCTGTACGCACATGGAGCGCGCTGTACACACATGGAGCGTTCTGTACACACATGGAGCGTTCTGTACACACATGGAGCGTTCTGTACACACATGGAGCGTGCTGTACGCACATGGAGCGTGCTGTACACACATGGAGCGTGCTGTACACACATGGAGCGTGCTGTACACACATGGAGCGTGCTGTACACACATGGAGCGCGTTCTGTACACACATGGAGCGTGCTGTACACACATGGAGCGTGCTGTACACACATGGAGCGTGCTGTACACACATGGAGCGCGTTCTGTACGCACATGGAGCGTGCTGTACACACATGGAGCGTGCTGTACACACATGGAGCGTTCTGTACACACATGGAGCGTTCTGTACGCACATGGAGCGTGCTGTACACACATGGAGCGTGCTGTACACACATGGAGCGCGTTCTGTACACACATGGAGCGCGTTCTGTACGCACATGGAGCGTGCTGTACACACATGGAGCGTGCTGTACACACATGGAGCGCGTTCTGTACACACATGGAGCGTTCTGTACACACATGGAGCGTTCTGTACGCACATGGAGCGTTCTGTACACACATGGAGCGTTCTGTACACACATGGAGCGTTCTGTACACACATGGAGCGCGCTCTGTACACACATGGAGCGTTCTGTACACACATGGAGCGTTCTGTACGCACATGGAGCGTTCTGTACACACATGGAGCGTTCTGTACACACATGGAGCGTTCTGTACACACATGGAGCGCGCTCTGTATGCACATGGAGCGCATTCTGTGCGCACATGGAGCGCGTTCTGTACACACATGGAGCGTTCTGTATGCACATGGAGCGCGCTCTGTATGCACATGGAGCGTGTTCTGTACACACATGGAGCGCGCTCTGTACGCACATGGAGCGCGTTCTGTACACACATGGAGCGCGCTCTGTACACACATGGAATGCGTTCTGTACACACATGGAACGCGTTCTGTACACACATGAAGCGCGTTCTGTACACACATGGAGCGTTCTGCACACACATGGAGCGTTCTGTACACACATGGAGCGTGTTCTGTACGCACATGGAGCGCGTTCTGTACACACATGGAGCGCGTTCTGTACACACATGGAGCGCGTTCTGTATGCAGATGGAGCGCGCTCTGTATGCACATGGAGCGCGTTCTGCACACACATGGAGCGCGCTCTGTACACACATGGAGCGCGTTCTGTACACACATGGAGCGCGTTCTGTACATACATGGAGCGCGCTCTGTACACACATGGAGCGCGTTCTGCACACACATGGAGCGTTCTGTACACACATGGAGCGCGCTCTGTATGCACATGGAGCGCGTTCTGTACACACAGGGGGTGCGCACGTCAGCACTGACCGCGATATCAAGCGGCGTGGCAATGGAAGATAGAGTTCTGTGGGTGAGCTGTGTGGGTGAGCCGTGTGGGTGAGCCGGGTGGGTGAGCCGTGTGGGTGAGCCGTGTGGGCGAGCCGTGTGGGTGAGCCAGGGGCGAGCGGTGTGGGTGAGCCGTGTGGGTGAGCCAGGGGCGAGCCGTGTGGGTGAGCCGTGTGGGTGAGCCAGGGGCGAGCGGTGCCGTCCCGGCGGCGTGCGGCGCTGGAGGGGCCGAGCGACGAGCAGCGCAGGCGGAGGCGGCGCAGCGCCTCACACCTTGTCCCGGGGGTCGCTCTCCCCGTCCCCCACGGAGATGTCGGCGCCCGTCGCCACCGGCGCCGCCGCCAGCGGGTGGCCGCACACGTGCTGGTGCTCCTTCCAGTCCTGCACGCGTCGCGACGGCCGCGACGGCCGCGACCAGAGGTGGGCGACGAGGTGGGCGACGAGGTGGGCGAGGAGGCGGAGGGGGCGAGGCAGGCGGGGGAAGGACAGGGCGGAGGGAGAGGGATTTAGGAAAACTGGTGGGGGGATTGCAAGCGGGGAAGGTTGCGAGGGTTTTGAGGGAGAGGTTGGGGGTCGGGGTTCGGATGCGGGGTGATGGGTGGGACTCTAAGGGGAGGCTTTGCGGGGTGGTGGGGTTGGTGGGGGTGGTGGGGGCGGTGGGATGAGAGGGGGGGGGGGCGCAGCACACACCATGGAACACAATCACCGGGGTGGAGGTGGTGGTGGTGGTGGTGGTGAAACCGGCCAGTGCCCTGACGATTGCCCCGTGACGGTGGTGGCTGTGATTGGCAGAAAGGGGTCGTCACCTTGCCTGAAATTTAGCCGGGTTGGGCAATTTCGCAAATCTTGTTCAAAATGCGCGGCTCTCTGCGCAGCGAGCACCGGGGAGTGCCTCCCCCGTGGGGCAGAGGGAACACGAGCACCGATTGTTTCTGACGAGAGTTTTAAAGGAAGACGTGACCAAAAGACACAAACGGTGTTCATCTTGTAGCTAGGCACACCGAGGCTCTGCGTCCCGAACTATCCCACACGACTTCAAAGCATCTTTGGATTTGGAAAGAAGTTACCGGCAGCTCCAGCGCAGCGATATCACGTCCACAACCTACAGCGGTCTTCATTCTGAATCTCTTTGTCTCCTCTCGTGTGTCTCTCCTTCGCCTCTGCCTGTCTGTCCCTACCACGACCACGATGAGTCTCTCCTGTGGGTCCACTCGCTCGTGCAGGTCGCTGCGATGCCCCACATCCTGGTTCCGTCTTCCCATTCAAAATATATAAAAATAAAAATGAACAGCGGTCAAACTCCAGCCACGTCACCCGAGTGCTATTGAAAGGTTGCCCGCGAGGGAGCTTTGCCAGGCGGGACCCCTAGGAAGGGTGCTCGCTTGGGGGCTTTGTCAGGAGGGACCCCCCCACAAGGGGTTGGTGCCAGAGGGCGGATGCTGCCGCTTGTTAACTCGGTGCGTGTCCTGCTACGATCGACTCGCCTGCTGTGGAAGCTCTCCTCAAAGTCACTTTCAAGCATATTTGTCATAAACAAAACTTCACGCTAGTCACGAGCTCCCAACCTTGAACACCTAGGGGCTGCGCTGCAGGGGTCACTAATGGAGTACAGGAAAATCTTGGCGCCAATTCACTCCGGACTTGGCATCCTCACCCCCTCCTCCATCGCATTTATTCTACCTGACGCTCTTCTTCTTCTCCTGCTCCCTGTCCCTCTCACTCTCTCTCTCTCTTTCGCTCCCTAAATCACAGCTGGGGAACGCCACGATTACGCTCGGATGCGTCGCTCAATTGCAAGGACGGTTGTAACCCGGTCCTCTGCGTCGCTGTCCTGTCGTCGAAATAATAACGAAGTTATTTTGCTCGTGCGGGAGAGCCCAGGACACACGCAGCCGGCAAGTGTGTGGATTCGCCATTAAAGAGCCGATTAACTTTCAGGTCGGCGTCTTCCCTCCCCGGGCGTTTAGAACCCCGGCGTGAGCACCGCTTGCACAAAATCGCGCCTCGCCCGTCACACAGAGGGTGCTCATGCGGGCACTGACCTTACGCTGGCAGAAGGTGGAACAGTAGTGTACCTTGTGGCATCCCGTGCACTCGTTCATGGCCTCGCGCCCGCAGTTGACGCACATTTGCTGGCGGAGGGGGGAGGAGAGGGCAACGTTTTACTTCGCCAACGAGTGGAGAGACCCGGCAGAGACGCGCGCCGAGAGCGCCCTTCCCGTCGCAAGCCGTCGATCACGTCAAAGTTCGACGACGTTTCGACCGTCATTAAAAGGGAGCGGGCTTGGGCAGGAGACGTCGTGAGAGGGGGTGACGAGGGGCCGGTGGGCGAGACTAACGACGGAGTGGCAGCCAAGGGGCGGGAGCGCGCCCGGGGGGGGACGGACGTTGAGAGAGAAAGAACGGAGTCGCGAGATCGGCTCACGAGCAGCGGCTAGACGGAGCGGCTACACCGCAGGGCCATGAGAAACGGCTACGGCTTGGGGAGGGATTCGTCCAACAGTGGATCGATCGTGGCTGATGATGATGGCGATGAAGCGGGATCGCTGCTCTGCTGCAACGCTTTGCGATCTTCGGATGCATCAGAGGTGCGATTGTCCGATATGGCGCTGTCGATACCTTGATGATGAGTTCGGTTTTCCCATCGCCCAGCTCCACGCGTTGGAAATGGAGTTGAGACTCGAGGCGCGCGTGGTACGGGTTCAGCACCTGCTGCGAGGGCACACGCACGCATGCACGCAAGCACACACGCGCACGCACGCACATACGCGTCCGCAAACGCACGCACGTACGCGCAAAAGCACGCGCACACAATATAGTTATTACAGTCACAAAACAAACACTGCGATGACTGCGCAAATAAAATAAAACATTCAATTTTGTTCTGCAATTAATTTGGATACATTTTGGCTATGAAAACTACAATTTCACTTTTATTGTAAAGGGACGAACGTTGCTCTCAGTTGCAGAGCAGGGAGCAAATCGCTGCCTCCTACTGCGCCAACTGCACCATAGCTCACTTAAAAGGATCTCAAGAGGTCGCTCTGTGATGATGCGCTTCTGTGGGCTTTTCTCAAAAAAAAGGTCACAATGCTCTGCGAGACATCCAAATGGATTCTTTGTCTCGTGACACCAAGCTGATAAGAGCACAATCGGTGCTCGTGCTACCGCCCTCTCGCCCGCTGCCCTCCTCTCTGCCGCCCTCCACACCTACCTCGGCCCTCTCCGCTTCAGCCTGCAGCCTCGCCTGGGCCATCGCGGCCTCCTGTTTCGCCTGTTCCAAGGCGGCCTTGAGCTGCTGTGCTGTGCTGATGAGCGAGCTGACCATCTCCTCCAGGTACTGCCACTGCCTCTGCTGCTGCTGCAACAGGTGTTGGTTCTGCTGCTGCTGCTGGTGATCCAGGTGATCCTCCTCCTGCTGCTGCTCATCCTGCTGCTGCTGCTGGTGGTGCTCCACGTGAGACGTGAGCTCGGAGTGCGGACACTCGAGGCCCAGCAGCTGCGGCGTGGGAGACACGGGCTTCCCGGCGTGCGGTGACGTCACGTTCAGCGGAGGGAGAGGAGACAGCGCTGCGACGACGACAGGGATGACGAACAGCATCAGAACAGCAGTGACAATCCACACCAAGCACGGATGCGTTGGCTCCATCCGTATATCACTGAATGGAATCGCAATAGTAGTGACGCAAACAACTAGCAAAATTTAAATTACACCTTTAAATTACAATATTTCCTTTAATTACTACTTCACTCTCAAGAAATGTATTGATATATAGGTTCACAAATACTAATTACCACGATATTGTAGCTAAAACACCATAAAATTTGACAAAATCAGCGACTATAAAAACACGAGCAGCGACGAACACAACAGCACGTGCTTGTAGCGCGTGCAGACGAAATCACGTGACTCGAAGCGTCACTGTAGTTGGGCAATAATGACAGCTCTGACCGGAGCGCATGAGAAGGTTCAAAAAGTCAATTAGCATAGAGTTTTAGCCTTATAGGTATATTGTACATGTAAGCTGGTCTTAGTTATAACAACATTTATTTTGTTGTTGTTATAACTAACTACAGGGATATTTTTTTATAAAAAATAATACATTTCTCCTGAAACACTGCACAGAAATTGTATATTTCGATTTAAAGCTTTCGTGACTGCAATGATTCATCTTCTTTGGTTCTTTTATTGTGTTATGTTATTTTATTTTATCAATTTATTTTTTTATTCTCATTCTACGTGACTTTACCGAAAGAACCAAAGAAGAGAAATTGTATAGACAGTCGTTTTGGTGTCACCCCCTCTGATGGTGTCACCCGGTGCGGCCCGCACCCCCCTCGTGACGCCACTGCCCTGAGTAACCCCATTTCCGTGGCCGGCACGCCCACATCCTATCCTGTAGGGGCCAGCACTGCATGCCGAGCGTGGTGCCATCCAGCGCGATCGATCAGCGCACGCCGTGCCTCTCCAGGGCCGGCATTGCACTGTGACATCCTGCGATGTCACTACATCTGTATATTACTTACTCTACAGAGTATAGGATTTGAAAATGATAAATTCTACATACGATTCAATATGTGTGCTATGCGATTGTGATCGATAAATCAACGGATCCGCTAGACCCCTTGCGACTTATATTGCGATTTTATAACCATGGCAACACGAGAACCGAACCGCCACGTTTGCCTTCGCAGCCATTCTCAAGTTGGGCAGCAGCAGTCGGAAGAGCTGTGGCTACACGCGGTGATGCCGATCGCCCAAGTCCTGGAACGTCTCGGCAGATGCCGCTCAACTCGGGAGAACCGGGGCAAACGTCTCCAGCTCCGGTAAAAATCATTCGCCCACCCCGAAGACACAAGCGGAGCCTCTAGTTAATGGTTTTAATGGGAGGGCAATTACCAAAGTAGCAAAACAATCGTTATAACACAAAGGAATTCCTATCCGCTAAAAATACACGCGCACAAAACGCATGAATGCTGCCGACATTGTTTCGCGTTCCGCGCGGGGCTGCGTGGTCCGCGTAGGTCACGAGCGACGCGTGGGAAGAGAGCGATGCGGGGGTCAAGGGGGACGGGGGGGGCGGTGCGAGCGCAGGCACGGTCGCCTGCCGTCAAGGTCTCTCGCGATCGCTCAAAGTAACGCAAGGCAGCGGCCGAAAACGCGTAAACACACACATAACGCACGCACGACGTGGAAACGATGCAGCGCAGGAGAGCGCGAGCTCGCAATTCAAGACGAATGATATTAATAACGATAAACCCAGGGCAGCGCATGAACGATGCATCACTCGTGGCACAAGCGCCCGTGGGGTCTCGCCAACGCAGGCCCGCGCGAGTCTCTACGAAACGACGTCAATCGTCTCTAACGGGCGTCTTAGGACCCGGCGAGAGTGGCGGCCAAGCTCAAGAGAGGCCCGCTTAAGCACGCCTGCTCAGATGCACGGCGCGGTAAGCGGCTCGCAAAGTGAGACGGTGGCAATTTCCTGCAAGGACGCCCCGTCCTATTGTGGAACACGCGACTGTGACGGGCGCCCATCCGTCAGCGCGCGGAAAATAATCGCAGTCGTTCACTCCGCATTCGTAATCAGAAGCGAAGCGTGAAGACACTGTGAATGGGAGCGAACCAACGACCGCCGGCCTCAAGCAGGTGTGGAGCAACGGGAAGGGAGCTTCTGCGGGAGTTGGCCCCAAGAGGCGAAGAACGCTGCGCCGCTACTGAGCCGCCCGTTGCACCTGCGACGAGCGAGCAGCTTCTAACGGCCGCATCTCCCGCTGAAGCGGCAACACAAGGGAACCGGAACGACGATTCCACGGGGAAAATAAAACGGTCGACGATCGTGACTTCACGATTGACCCCCTCAACGATTCGACTGTTACGATTCTGGGTCATGATTTGAGTCCCCACTTATTTAATTTGTCTTTTCAGTGGTATGCATGGAGAGCACCTACAATGGCACCATTTGCATTTCATTAATAATGTTGGTAATGCTCGTTATTAACACACCAAGGGTTGTGGTCAAGTGTCAAAACTCCTTTTCCGGAGGGTCCTGCAGTGGGATAACAATAATAATAATAATAAACTCGGGTTTCTATAGCACGATTCCCACAAGGCCTCAAAGAGATTAACGAAAAATCTTAAGTTATGGAGAAAGCGGTTTAAAAAGTGTAACAGACACTGATTCCCTTGTGGACCGAGATAGGGAATTCCACAATCTCTGTTTGGCCATGTGTGGGAGAAAACAGGAGAATCTGGAGTCAACCAACGCACAGATGGTTCCAAGAATCCAATGCCGTACGAATATCCACTAAACACCTCGCAGCCCGAGCCTACAACACCTGGTTTTCCCAGGTAGTCTCCAATCCACGTAATGAACAGGCCTAACCTTTGCCTAGTTCCTGAGATCTGATCAGATCGGGTAAACACACGGGCAAAAATAATCGGTTCTTAGGCATAATTGTGTGTCAGTAACGCGAGCATTATAAGACATTTTTTTCAATGAATTATTTAAAGCAACAAGACACAACGCCCTAACGAAGCGTCTGGCGTTAACCATTTTACAAGTCAAGAGCTCTGCCGGAGACCTGTAGGTCAAAACTCGATTTATTTGTGTACAGTTTTATTCACATACATCACAAATCGCTGCCACAGATTCCGTAAATCTCTGAAGCTGATCCCGGGCAGCAGGGCCCGTAGACCGGCGCCAGTGGCATTCTCCCGCTCAGCGCAATCCGCACTGAGCCAACATTGCAGCCATCACCACCACCACCACCACCGCCATGCGAGCTACCCAGCATTGTTTTCTCACTCGGTCATTGACCGGTCAATAACAAAAGGTGCAATTGTCCTCGAGTCTTAAAACAACGGGGCAAGCTTCTTAAACCCCCACCCACTGCCTCTGTCCACCCAGCCATGTAAATGGGTTCAGTGTGGTGGGGTAAAGTGTCGGCACACCCACCTCTTCTAAAACGTCTAGTCTGTGTGGAAGAGAAGACCAAATACCCCCCTCCCCTCCCTACAGAGGCACTCCAGAGCCTCCTGCAGCAAAAACCCTTCCGCCAGCAGCGGCGTGCGCAGGCAATTGAAGGGCTGTGACTTTTGCTCCGATGACGTCCCTAGTAACGCTACCAATTGAGCGCAGCCACCTGTGTCTTCATTCAGACTCAAATAATTTGCTCCGGTCAGTCGGTCGGTCACGCTGTGGTCTCTGCCGGGCGATCGCACTCAGCATCACGCCGGATGATTCATCATCCCCTCACAGTCATCGCTGGCCGAAGAAAAAAAATTAACAAAAAACCAACAACCCATTTTGTAGGCAAATGTGTTTGTATTTAATTCCGTTAAGAGAACGGCCCCCGGTGCCCCAGTCTGGCACACTCGGAGTCGTACGTAGCCAAGAGCGGGCGGCACGCGGCCCCGCGTTCAGCGGCGCGACAAAGCGGTCCGGGCAAAAGCTCAAAATCCGTTCCAAGTTTTTTAATGAAGTGCGGTGATTAGTTCCGTATACAATGGCGTGGCGAGGTCACATCTGCCCAGGATCTCCACGCTGTCAGGTGCGCCCAAGATATTTATCTACTCATGAACCTATTTAATCATTCGCATTGTACCGTTTTTTCATGACGACGTGAACTGTGATTGAGAGCCTAGAGGTAAGTTCAATTGCAGATTTCTATCCTGACAGATTACACGTGACAGCTTGCAGTGTGCGAGTATTTAAACAGAAGCACTTATTTTACGGAGCGATCAATGTGCCTACATTTTTCGTGAATATTTTACAGCCCCTGAGTCAATCGCCAGCTGGATCGTGCAGGTCGTGGGGGTCTTTAGACCACACTTCACCACGCTGGTCAGTCCCAATTGGTGAAGGCAGTGCCCAGAACCGGTATCGAAGTCATTTCCCACTGATGTCAGCCTTGGCCAGGAATCAAACTCGGTTTGCTGGGGTCGCCGTACGCATAATAACGCACACGTTATCACATACATACTTTTCAAAACCACCCACCTCTCTAAATCTGCAAGTCCCCTACCCCTCATGTACAGCATCCAGAAACAGAATTACAAATTAGATGCATAAATCAATAAATACATAAATCCGCCTTGTATTCTATAAACAGGAGTAGATGTATGCAAAACATGCCACTGGATGCGCCATCAACTACCGTACTTTACCATGGCCAAGCACGTACAAAGACAAAGATCCCCTCCCCCCGTATAGCCTTAACAGACTACTGGGGCAAGTGCTTTTAACGAGCATCTATGACGGCTAACACGGCACACGAGGGGGTGGTGGCAAGTGCCACGCCTGGCCGCCTTTGTCTCCCCGATGCTGATGTTTACGCACCACACCAAGTACTCATTTGAAGCCGAGTGGACCTAGGGGAGGCCCAAGACAGGTTCAGATAACTGTCACTGACGTTGGCAATGAGCGGGAATCGAACTCGGTCGCCGGGTTCGTAGCGCGATGCGCTAGCCAATCCACTACCGCCGGGCGACCAGAAGAAACACATACACATGCGTATACCGAACGTTAATATCTTAACGTGGATGTTATTGATGTACGACTGGATAGAAA